TTTTGAACTCTACTATATATGACTTGTGGGCAAACTGGGGGTCGCATCGGAACTTTTCTGTTCCTGCTTGGATTTTCAGCCATGGAACTGTCATACTTCGTTGATGGCAAGTCGCCTTATAAGCATGGACGCTTGATACCTGCATCGCAGCAGGGCACTGACATGCATTCGTCCACTCCTGCTCTGAATGGTTGCTGAGGTCGGTTCATGCCATGGAGGGATCAAACGTCCAGTCATTATTTGAAGGGGATTGTGCTGCGAAGATTAATACGGATTCCACAATGGTCTTGGGTTTCATGATCGTAAAGGTGGAAATATGGGTTCCCAGTGGAATATAACGCTAACGCTATGTGCTCGCTGATGCTCTTTGCTACCGAGTTGGGGGCCGTTGTGCGCAATTGTCGATGTTTCGTTCATGCCGCCGTCGTTACCAGGTTGACGCGACTTGATTTTGACTGCAGTACTGATCATCTTTCCTGTCCATTAGGAATATTTCTCAAAATCCGCAGGCCCCGTCAAGCGAGTGATGCTCACTTACAACCAGAACGGCACCAGCCGTGGTATTGCTTCCATTGTCTTCAGCAAACCCGACACAGCTGCCAAGGCTGCCAAGGAGTTGAATGGTCTGCTTGTTGATGGAAGACCGATGAAGGTGAGAGACGCTTTGCCATCTCTTTCATTCTGATCGTCTCTAATTCTTCATAGATCGAAGTAGTGGTTGACGCTTCCCACGCTCCCAGTGTGCCAGCACCGAAGCCTCTTGGAGAGCGTGTCGCGTAAGTTTTTACTCTTTGTCGTCTTTTTGATGATCTTCTGCTAATCTCAAACAGTCAAGTCAAATCTCAGCCCAAGCCTGCCACAGCAGCCAAGGCGGCCAACACCACTCGAGGCCGTGGCGCCCGCCGCGGTCGCCGTGGTGGTGCCCGTAGCTCGAACCGTCCTAAGCCGAAGTCCGTCGAGGAGCTCGATGCCGAGATGGTTGACTACTTCGCCAGCACCGAGAATGCTGGCCCCACAGATGCCAATGCGCCTGCCGCTACGAATGGCACTGCTCAGCAGCCTGCTACGGGTGGTGAGGATCTTGGAATGGCCGAGATTTCTGTAAGCTTGCCTGGTCCCTTTGGTCTCTCTGAACGTGCAGACACTGACCCTTCGTGCAGTAAATGCTTCGTGATGTATCTCAATCTTTCTCGAGGAGGGGCAGGTCACTCTTCTATTGACTGAACCGACCGCCTTTTGGCAAGGTCTTCCGGGAAAACCGGTTTGCTCGACCGCTTTCTTTCCCAAGCCACTTTTTCGGATTCTTTCTTTTAATTGTTCCATTAACGCGATTCTTCTCTCGGCATTGTTTTATTCCTCTATTACTTGATGTGGTAGTTTTCAGCTGGTTTTTAATGGGAAACTTCGAGGAAGTCTGGATGTATTCAATAATTTCTCAACGAGCTTCGTCCGATGATTGCAACAGAAATGACCTAGTTGACTCGGCAAATGTTTGCCATCCCGCGTAGAATCCTTGTAACCGCTGTAGAGAGATACTTAACGTCAAGTCCAAGTTCCGTTCGGGGGACCAAAGTAACCCACATCCGGCATCGGTTTCCAGGCGACACCGAGTCCATCCGCAGTGTTGAGGTATACTGTGTTCCCCCACCAGTCGGGGAACACGGCACCAGGGTACGAGATACAGAAGAAGATGACGATGCCGCTAAGTGCAAGGCCGGTGTCGAGAGCCGCGGCGAGGACGTAGTTGTATTTCGTCCACCAAGCAAAGAAGCGGCGCTTGATGACATGATTGAAGGCGAAGTTGACGAGCGCCCAGCTGGAATAGTTGATACCAGTTGCTTGGGAACCCATCAGTAAGTAGCTGCTTGCACTGCGGCATTGAAGTCTGGCGACTTACCCGGCGGAACGTTCCATGTGCCCACGAAGATGAGAGGCCAATTCACGGACTTGAAGATGCTGCGCTTGGTGGACCTGTACAGGAAGTACGTGGCTACTGGCGCGAGGGCGCCGATCCAGAAGAAGTGCAGGAGAGGCGAGTAGATCTTGCCGGCGGAGTAGAGGCGTCGCGGGCCGACGAGGCCCCAGATGACGGAGGATGAGTACACGGTTCGGCCGTTGGGGCAGGAGAAGCCGTCTGGTTGGTCCGCGGTGCAGATGCCGTCGATGTTGCCGAGCATCCAGAGGGTGACGCCGGCCTGGGTCAGGGCTCCGAGAACGGTGGCGGTCCCCTGGGCGACGAACAGCAGCCGGGGAGGGATCTTCAGGTAGTGGCCCAGTTTCATGTCCATGGCGAAGTAGACGCCTTGGCCGACCACGTCGGTGCTGAGGATCTTGAAGAGCATGTTGGCCAGGGGCTTGCCTTCGAACATGTAGCCACCGATGAACTCGCTGAGGACATTGAGCTGGTTTGCGTCGACGTTGGTGATTCCCTGGACGATTCCGCAGGGCACCATGTAGAGGGCTGGGATGACGAGGGCCAGGAACACGCCGTAGACGGGGAGTTTTGTTTCGTAGACCTCGACCAGCACAATGGCGAGGGCGGTCACCACCACAATGACTGCGGCATACCAGTACCAAGGAGTTTTCCTGTAGGATTTCATGAGCCGGGCATGGATGTCTAACCTGTTTTTGCCCTTTAGGGCAGCCCAGATGTCGCTCCTATGCCAGACTGCAATGTGAGTAAGAACTGACGTGATGGACGCGAAGGCGAGTCCGTAAACGAACGCGAATGTGGCGCCTAGATACGGAGGCGAGTACTGCTTGTAAGCATCGATGTCCAGGGTGTTCTGGGAGCTAACCACTCGGGTTGTGTTGTAGACGGCTCCTGTCCGATCGTAGACGTCCGCCGTCATCATTGGAAGGTAAGCAGTAAACCAAGTGTTCGTGTAGTAGAGAGCAGGAACGACACCCCAGAAGAAGATTGCGAAGCCCGCAAAAACGTTGACGGCTGCCCAAGATGGAGACAGAAGTGGATTCGTGTTGTACGCTACCTGGCTCCAATCGAAGGTGATGGGACTCAAGCCAAGTCCCGTCTGCATGCCGAAAAGCTGATTGACAACAACGTTTTTGGGCGCAATCCAGCAGATCCAGGTAAAATAGGATAGGGCCGTGAAAATGAGCCCGGGAAAGAAGTACCACACGAAACCGGCTGCGGTGACATACAGAAAGAAGCGCAAGCGAGAGATCTTCCATCCATTCGCCACTGAGTTGGCGCGAGAATGGAGAGTTTCCAGCATTGCACAGTTCGATAGAACAGCCGGCCAGATAATGCTCGCGGGCTCCACGAGCCATGGCGCGGCCAAACCAGCGATTCCGAACCCTAAGAGCTGCGCGCAGATCACAACAAGGACCGAGAAGCCCGCTTTGAGACCAAAGTTGTAAAAGTTAGAGCTGGAGGCTTGAATGATGTTGGTCGCGTCGGCACTGCCGTATCCGAAAGAGACATTACTCATGATCACGATGATGGCATGTTCCTTGATATTGAAATGGTGATCTGGATTTATGCAGTAAGAACCCAACCGTCCGCAATTAATCGTCATTATGGGCAGTACTTTGGCGAGAAAGACACCACATGGATAGGCAAGCAGCTCTGCAACAAGCGAGACTATGTGCACAGATGGGTAACGGAGGGAGAAGAATTGATTGATCCCAGAACCCAGAATGGTAAAGACGACGCCGAGCACCCACATGCGGAGCGTATTGGCAGGCATGTGTGGGTCATCAGTTTCAGGAACAACTGCTCGGACTATGCATCTTTGGAATGAGTCGAGAATCTAGTATTCAAAGCGCACACGACAAACACACCTTCAGCAAAGGGGGAGTGTTCGGATTCGTAGTCATACTCCTGGTCCTCCTTCAAGGTGGAGTCGAGATCAACCTCAAGTTCACCCAGGCGGCCGATCTCTACCTCTGGATCGTCTGCGGCGTGAGATGTCTTGACAATATGATCCAGAGCTTGCTCTTTAGAAGCCATGGTGATTGTTGATGCTTTCAAGCAGGGCGCAAACTCTTCGTCAAGGCCCGCCAATTGACGATTGATGCAAAGGTAAAAAGATATAATGATTTGGCCCGAATCTCTCTCTCTTTTAAGCCTTGACCACGAAGCTTGACCTGCCCATCTGCGTCTAGCCAGACTCGATTACAATGCGGGGTCAACAAAGATAAGGCATGTTGCATCTCGACTGGAAGGCCATGGCGCGGCAGGATACATGGCGAGGATACGCAAATCGAAGTAACACACAGGCGCTGCATTTTCGTAATTGTATACCATTATCATAGAAATGCGAAGTGAATCTGGCCGCACATTCCCTCCAGATTCCTGCGCTTGTTTTCAGGACACCAGCTGCAGGGCAGGAAATATGATAATGAAGCTCCCCGAGTATGTCGCCAGTCTCCACATCCCACGGCGAGGATATTGAAGTCCGACATTGCTCGTTATCAGGTTGCATTGATAAGGAATGCAGTACCTTGCTTGATAGGGGAAAAGCAGGGCGGGAGATGGCCGACAACAGTGTAGGGCAAGTGATAACAAATTCTCCAACTGTTCTCGCCAATGATTCGAGGATTACCGGCTTGCTGATTGGTATAGCAAATTCGCCATGCTCAAAGATATTCCAGATGGCCAAGATAGCCATGCATGAGATGAAGGCATGAGATGAGGAGATGAGGAGATGATCGTGAGCGGAGGTTCTTTATTATTGAGACAGTTGGGGATGTTTGATTTGTATGCATTGCCTTCAAGGTCATCTCCAACAAACACACGCATCTCCCAACTTCAATATCATCAATCAATATTAAACGAATTTGCATTCGGTCATCGATAGCCGTATCTGCATTCTGATTTGTCTCGACCATAGCTGAGAAGTAGGTGAGCATCACCTCCCAGCCTTGACTCGTATGACTCACCCGAAGGCTGTGTTGAGACATTTCACATAAAAGCCACACCTGCGTTTCGAACATCGTCAAGTCCGTACACGAATCTTTGCTGTGGACTGCTCACGATGAATCCAAGAGTAGGAGTTGGAGTTGTCATCCTGAACAGGGAAGGGAAGATTATTCTGGGCAAGAGGAAGGGAAGCCATGGTGCAGGTACTTCTGCCTTTTAACTTTCTCCTGTATCTTGAGCAGATACTGATATCGGAACAGGCACCTGGGCATTTCCTGGCGGCCATCTTGAATTTGGCGAATCCTTCGAATCCTGCGCAGTACGGGAAGTACTCGAAGAGACAGGCCTCCCGATTCACGACGTTCGTTTCCTGACTGTTACGAACGATGTCATGGAGGCCGAAGGAAAGCACTATATTACTGTGTATGTCGGTGCCATTGTCAAGGACGATACCGCACAGCCCCAGGTGAGTTGGAATCATCCGGCCTTGTCCATGAGGCTCTCCGTACTGATTCCTGGCTTCAGATACTGGAGCCCGAGAAGTGTGACGAATGGCGGTGGATAAGCTGGGAGGATGTTCGGTTGTGGTTCGACAAGCAGGTGCAGACTGAGGGAATGGAGACCAGCGATGACCAGCCAAGGCTATTCATTCCTCTCCTCAATCTCTTCCGACAACGGCCGGCCTTTGACCCGAGGAAGAGTTATGCGTCTGCGCAAGAATAGTACTTTTCATTCTTGACGGCAAGTTACCGAAAGGTTACTCACCCAGTCACCCCTTCAAAGTCTAAGGGGCGTACATACAATATCCAGTTATGAAAATCAAACATGCAACTAGGATGATGGGCAGAGATTCGAAGATAGCTCGTATTTCGGATAATATACCGAAGTTCACATTTCTATTCTCGAACAAGTATTTGATATCGACGGAAAACGGCTGAGCTTCATGTAGGGCCATAGTGATATGTTAGCGATTATCAGCCTCAAGGATGATATGGATGTTTCCTGTCACTGTCTTACTATGCCTTTTGTTTTCTTTTCGGGTTATTGTGTGGGGAGAAGATGGCTATCAAAGTCTTTAAGGATCCTGATATTACTACCACTTTTTATCAAGGCGAGTTCCCTCCAGCCCTCGAGATACATACTATATCATCCATGTTCTTAGCTTCCTGGTAAGGGCAACGCTACAGAGATCGTAGAACAGGTTTTAGTTCACACAACCACACAATGAGATACCTGCACATAAATTGATTTGCATACGGGCATCTACAAAAGAGCTAAGTAATCACTAGGATTCAGTGTGCTAGGCATATACTGCACTTCACACAACCCAGTAACCGCAAAGCTACAGTATCAACCTGCTATCACCCCATCATGAACTTGGATCCGTAGCGCACACTCCATAAACACAAGACCATGGGTCATCACATTCATCATCGGTGAGGCAAGTGGCTCCTACAAAACATCAGCAATCTACAGCATTTGCCACTGGATCAGCATCAACATACCCTGGCAATGTCCCTCCCAGGAGCAGGTGATGCTTGGATCAACGGCACAGGCACCGTCGATACAAGCCCAGGGGTCAGAGCACTGGCTGTCAGACGAGCAAGAAGATGCTAGAATCGTATCAATAACGGTTCTCCGACTCAGAATTGCAAATCCAAACCTAGGCAGTGTCCTTCCCATTGACATGTTTCCGTGGGATCGTAATTGCATACTCCGTTGATGCAAGCAAAGGGGTCCGAGCATTCGTTGTCCGAGGAGCAGGAGGTACCTAGACACCTTAGCATTTTCCTTCAAACGGTATAGTAGCGCATACCGAGGCAGTGGCCCGCCCAGGAACAAGTCGCGGTAGACGTCGCCGTGGTTGTAGTCTTGGTAGTGGTGGTAGTCTTCAGGGTAGTAGTCGGCTTGGATCCCGAAAGACCCAGCTGGGAGACAAGAGCATTGACAAGACTATCACCAAGACTGCGCAGCTTGGTAAAGTTGGTGATGTAATTGTCGTTGACGGCGCTGCTGGGGAGGACGGCGTTATCGCCAGTGAAGACGATATCTGGCGAATCAGTCAAGTTCGAGACGTGCTGGGAGAAATCTTACACGTAACATTCGCAGGAACGTGTCCGTTATTGCCGTTGAGATCGTCGTCAGGGAAGCACGTCCTAGCCATAAGCCACGAAGCTTCGCCGATGACCTCGGGGGTGTCGCCGTCCGTGTCGCCAAAGATACCATAGTACATTTTGCCATTGCTGGACATTGTCAGGCTATCGTCTCTGGGGATATGGAGTATGGAAGGGGGTGTACCAAATCACGGCAGCAACGTTGTTGCCTGTTAGTTGGGATTCGTAGGCCTTGTAGAAATGCTGAGGAATGACAATAAACGGCACCTCGTACGCCGCCAATGCGCCGAAGTTGGTTGCATCCTGGCCATCACCATTGCCCTGGGCAGAGTCAGTATACGTTTCCTATCTCATCTTGAGGATGACTGACCTTGCATTGGTAATCAAGGCCATCGCAATCGACATCCATGTCAGCAACCCAGACATAGGCCGCACCCTACATTCTTTAGTTCACACAGTCCCCACAGTCCCGGGACATACGTACAGTAGGCAAAGTAGCCCAGTCTGCGTGGATGGTAGCGGTAGGCGAGTCCGAGTCAAAGTTGATCGGATACTTGGCACTCTTGGGCACGGCACTGGCCTTTGCGGCCGCGGATTGCAAAGCGGCTACGGGCATTGTGGTGGCAGCCGCAAAGAAACTTGCTGGAGGACCAGCAGAGGGCTTGTTGTAGTCCGAGCCAACGACTGTTTGGCCCAAGACGGGCGTGAAGAGCAAGAGGGAGGCAGCCACATGGCCGAGGGAGGATTTGACCAACATTCTGTAGGTACAAGACTACTCGGATCTGTGGATGGATGTGTTTTACTTCTGACTCCCATCTCTGCGGAGGTAGCTGGGTATTTATAGGTTAGTTTACGAGGCATAGTTGTCCCTTTGGATGTGTCTCTAGAAGCAGCTCTTGTCGACCTTGCGTCTTGAGACCAAGTCCATGGAGAACGGCGTGTATCCAGTGCATTGATAGTCCGCGGACTGAAGTTGGGGGCCGAAAGTTTTGCCTCAACGAGATGATTAATTTATATAGAAGAAATAATGGATGCCATTTGTCGAGAGGTCACCGGATGATAGTTGTAGAAGCCGTTCGAATCCCTCTTGCCTTCCATGGCTGTAGTGTGTAGGAATGTAAGCTTTAGTACTGCGACTGTGAAGTCCGTGATGCCCACAGGTCTCTGCTTAGCGAGCGTGGCGCATATATTCGACCAATTGGCATGCTTTTTGTATTAAGCGATGTCTGATCCGCATTGACTGTCCCTGGCATCTCCACTGAGGAGACTAGAATGACCCCTGCCTGGGTCCATCAGCTCACTCCTGTTGCATTCGCCGGGATCCCCGAATGAATCTCCGGCACCTCTCTTGGTAAACGGTTGAATGTAATTATAAAAGCGATAACCTACTTGTCTTTTGATTGCCGTGTGGCAATTAACGGCTTGATATCAATATCAAGATGATTTTCTCACAAGCCCTCGTTCTCCTTGCATGCTTGCCCTATGCCCTGGGCACATCGCTGATAGATTTCTCGGCTGCGCGTGGCGACGATCCCTCCATCCTTGGGATTAGGAACCTCGAAGCAGCACGAGACGACAAGGTCTCTGCCAACACGGATGATCTCTACATCAAACTAGGCACAGATCCAAGGGGAACATCTGCACTGCACTTTCACCGCATTCAAGGCGACATTCGAGCCGAGTATCACTCCTTGCCCAACAAAGTGGCAGCAGATCAAACATACTACATTGGCTATCAATTGTCACTCGGCGAGATCGAGGAGAGTTTGATGATCTGGCAATTGTATCCTTTTTGACCTTTTTTTGAGGATCGGGTTACTGACTTCCCTAGCAAGGAGTACGCAGCCAACAATGCCGAAGACGGAGGAGCCAACATTCCCCTCTCATTAGAATTCAAAAATGGAGTGCTCAATCTCCAGTACCAGGCATCTAGCACCGCAAAACGCGAGTCGCAGTGGTCCCGCCGCCTCCAGACCAATACAGTGTACTCCATTGGTCTGGTCATCAACACCGCCACCCCAGGCTGGGTGGAATTGTACTTTGATGGTGAGAAGCAGACCTTTTCAACAACGGGGACAACCAGGCTGCCAGCTACCACCTTCCCCGGCCGTGCGGAGCCCAAGTTCGGTGCCTATCGCGGTGAAGCCGTGGGGATTGACACATACGTCTACCGGATCCAGATCGGGACAGCGTTGAAGGACATTCAGGAGGCTGCGGGACTAGGACAGCCGTCTACGTCTACGTCTACGAGGATATCGACAACCATGGCTACTCGGACGAGCACCACAAGGACGACTACGAGGACTACGTCTAGTGCACCTACATCCACAGCGACCTGTGAGTGGACTGGTCACTGCGCGGGTACGTGCACCTCAACCCCTACTCTAGCTTGATGCTGACGCTCTCAGGTGCCACATGCTCGAATGCCGACGAGTGCTCTGATCCGTGGACCTGCTTCAATGGTGTTTGCAATTATGATCCCACGGTCACCTGTCAGTGGGAGGGGCATTGCTTAGGTACATCTTCCCCCTATACTATCTAACCAAAGCTGATCGTCTAGGTGCCGTGTGCGCGAACAGTGACGGATGCTCAGATCCCTGGGCTTGTATCAGTGGAAAATGTGCGGTTGATCCGAGCATCACTTGTTCTTGGGAGGGTCATTGCGCGGGTGAGTAAAGTCCTCGTCATGTAGGGCATGTCTGACATAGGGCTAGGAGCAACATGTGTGATGGACGATGACTGTGATGATCCTTGGGCGTGTGTCTATGGAGTGTGCGCGATTGAGACTACGGCTTGAGCGAGCCATCAAGAGGGCTTCAGTCTTAAATCCCGTTCAATTGGGAAATGGTCACACAAACGGATACTATGCTGCAAGTCATTGAGGGCCTGCCTAGTTGGGCGCGATGCCCACACCACTGGGCAGACCGAATACCTGGCTATCTAGTTCGAACCCACATTCAAACATTCCTTTCCCCTCCGTCAAGCACATCTTGGTGTGTTCATTCTTGAGATTCCCAGTTATCGCATACGTCCACTTCTGGTCTTGATATCCAGTGCATGAGTGGACGGAAAGCTGGCTCCCTGCCGTCAGGCAATGCGACGTTCTTGACAGCGGACGTAGACTCCCCTCTCTAACCTGCCAGATCTGCGTCTCCGATCCTTTGCAAGACTCAAACCCAACCCTCCCACCGTCGCCATCCGTGAGACAGTTCCCCGACGCTGTATTGAACACAATCCCAGTAGGAATGACCGTCGAGCACTCCTCCGGCAAAGTGACCCTACCCCCCCCCCCCCCCCCCCCCCCCCCCCCCCCCCCCCCCCCCCCCCCCCCCCCCCCCCCCCCCCCCCCCCCCCCCCCCCCCCCCCCCCCCCCCCCCCCCCCCCCCCCCCCCCCCCCCCCCCCCCCCCCCCCCCCCCCCCCCCCCCCCCCCCCCCCCCCCCCCCCCCCCCCCCCCCCCCCCCCCCCCCCCCCCCCC